GCGGAATGTGAATTGGATGCTTCATGCGTACTTCACGAAGACGCTTCCACTCCGCATTCGTGCGGGACTCCCTGAGATAGATCCCACGACCAGGAAAGAAGTGAAGTCGAGAAGCACGAGAAATTGCCAAACTTGAAAGTAAGACGATGGTAATACAAACATGAGCAATCTGTCTCTGTCCCTAATCGGGCGCCCAAGCCTATACACAGTAACGGGTGAACGTCAACATCCAAAAACTCTAGAATGTTCAGAACACTATTATTATCATAAAACAATTTCCTACGAATGCTGAATTCCCCCAGCTCAAGTACACCTGTAATAACTATCGCACGGCGGCGCCCAGATTCTTGACAATCAGTAACAACGGAACGAATAGAATTGACAGTGTGATCTATAATAGGTTCGGCACAAGCAAGAGGTACATCAGGAGCCAGCCCCCCAAATCGGGGAGGGACGTGGGCGAAAGGTCAACTATATACGAGAAGCACCGATCCTTGCTAGCAACGACTTGGGGCACGTCCAGATTTCGCGTTATGTGAGGTACAACACTGGAATTCTTTTCCAACAGTACATCCGAATAGCTCAATTTTCCATGTGATGGAGATCACCGTTCGTACAGCAGGATCAGGGAATCCCTTTTCTACTGAATATACCATTCTAGGGCAGCTTGTATCGGGCATTGCACAAACAGATTCTATACAAGAGCTTTGAAAAGATTAAAGACCTCCGTGGGTAGGAAGAACAAAAATTACGTCATGTTCTATTTCAGGACGTCGGATGTCTTGACAATGATCGCGTTATTCTTCATATAGGCCCTGTCTCATATATTCATGCAAACTACGTGTCATCACCAACAAATCCGAAACGATTTATATGCACTCAGGTCAGTTTTTAATCGTGGTCACTATATATCAGTTTCACCGGCTCAGGATCACTGTGGTCGCAGAAATATGCCGCTGGGGGTGCTTTGTGATACGACCACAACGACCTGATTATTAGGTTCAAATGATAACACATCAACGACAATCGCGCTCTGAGGAGAAGGGTCAGAGCGACCAGAGCTTTTCCTTCACACCCGCGGTGACAGGACTTTCGTTCGATGGTGAAGAGAGAATGACAAACAGGCTGGAGCTGGTCCTTAGGGCGCCTTGAAATGCGGGCGCATAGTAGACCTTAGCCCTCCCCACGTGCGCTCGCTCGCTCGCGACATTGGAAATTCTTTGGCCTAATTTTTAGATTTTCAGTGACAGATACACTTGAAGCCTATCCAATAATCTTCCTAGCATAACACTTTCACATTTTCGAGCATTCGAAGCATGTGCTGTGCTTCACCTAAACAACAGATGTCTTGTCTATCGAGAGCAGATCTATAATCTCACTGATTTTCCATAGGCAGATTCGACCAATGGCTCATTCAATTTAAGGCGCCACTTCCCAAAACTTGTCCCGACTTTTGGTATATGGTGGTTCAAGAGAAGTCTGCATCCATTCTTATGCTATGTAATTTTGTGGAGCAGGTAAGCGCCACTGCCCACCCATATCGTATTTCCATATTTTCTCAATGCAGAATGCCAAAAAATGTGCCGAATATTTCCCTACCGAGGACGATAAGCCACTTTCATTCGACGGCGTGACGGTTACGTGTAAGAAACAGGAACAGGTGAGAATCATGATATGAATTCTTTTCCAATGAAAAAAATTTTTTATGAAAAAATATGGTACAACCACTACGCAATCGCAATTTCATGTGCTCTCTATTCGGAATTCGCTCCTGATCGGAGGAATGAAAGTAAGAATCGTATTTGGACGAGCGCAATATTTCCATTTATGTTCAGCTTCCTTTCCCGTTCGAAACTCGAATCCATATACGCGTTCGGCATTTGGAAGTCAACGTGCCAGGTCAGCCAATGCACCCCTGTAAGCACTACCATTGGCAGGATTGGCCGGATCGTGGAGTTCCAGACGCTGATCTAGCGCCAATTGTATTGTTATCAAAACTCAAAGATAGCTCGTGAGTTTGTGGTCATTTCATATGAAGGTTCCAAAACAGTCAGCACAATAAATGAGGTGTAAATAAGTATCGATAAACAAACAGCGGAAGTGGTTGGGATCTATCAAGGAGCACGACGTATTGCGTTGTCACGACAAACTGTCTTCGAATAGGACAGAGTGAAAGACTGATGTAGGCAGGGTAAGCAAGTCCCGAATCTGTATGGGGCATACATACATATTCCTTACTGAGGCAGCAATTCCAATTCTATGCGAAGTGTACAAAGATTCACAAGGATGCGCTTCGTGTGTTGAGTAGGCAGCTTCTCTCCCTCTGAGATGCGGGAATAGCATGCCGTCCTTGGAACTCTACACTTGCCGTGACCCTTTAATGCCTTATAGTACCGAGCATAATTCAAACCGCATTTTCCCCCTAACTTTGACAAAACTTTTTGAAGTGCTCCTTACAAATTGACTAAAGATAGCCAGCAATTTCATTTAAGCCACAATGATTGATCGTGCTCACAGCTTTCAAACAGAAATCCATCTTAGAACGAACGCTGATCTATTCTTCCTAACTAAAGTGAAAATTTTCCAGTGCTCCCATCATTGTACACTGCTCGGCCGGAATTGGTCGTACAGGATCCATAGTTTTGATACAACACGCTATGGAACTACTGCACATACCGGCACCTTTACTCGAAATCTCTACTTATCTTGTGGAACTTCGTAAACAAAGAAACAATAGTATACAGGTTTGTAAGCATCTCAGACGATGATCGACTTATCGATTACTTATGATCGCTCGACTGCATAACGCAGCTGTTTGACCTTTCTGCAATAGCTTCCCTAATAGCCGAATAGGGGAGAATTAAGCCGGTATAGTAGGGTGCGCTTCGTTCCTTATAACTAGGTCACCGCAGCCGTCGCATGCGGCAGTCAGCCCGACTTGACGGACGTCGCAGTTGTGAGTGGGGCATACGATTTGCGCTTGGTACGGCAGTTAGCTAAAGAGAAGATAGCACGGACAAATGCAAATCAATCGCTCTACTGACACTCGGTGATACTGTAATATCATCTCGACACCTGGGGTGCGCCGCGCGCGAAATGGGCGGGTTGACCTACTTCCGGCGGACGCGCCCAACGGACGTTCCCGAGTGTTACCACATTGGCACAACTTGCGCTCAACTGTTACTCGGGAATAGGATAATACTCTTGCTCATATATCATTAGTATCGAGAGCCCGTGAAAGCTGAAAGCAAAGCTTCAAGACAAAAAGCTGCTTAACACGGTTTGCAGTTTTTACCAGAATTCGGAGTGGCTCAACATACTGCCCTCAATTATAGATTTATAGCCACGGCTCCACTTGTATAAAAAGCACAGTGAACTTTAGTGAGGGTTAAGATTTTAGTCCGATTTCGATACGAGCCTATAATATGTGATTTCGTAATTCCACATCACGCAGACCTATGACCCTTAATTTTCTGACATATGCCAGTTCAATTCCATTCTTACACAAAAAATAAGATTTTCGATATTTCAGACTGAACACCAGTACCTATATATCCATCAAGTATTGCTGCTCTATTTAAAGAAGACCAAATATCTAGATGAAAGCGTGACACCATATATGGAAGCGTTCACGAGAGATTATATCAATGCCACGAAAGGCTTCTGATCAACAAGCTTCCGCAGCGATCCAGTCAACATCATTATCGCCAGCCAGATCATCAGCAAATGTACCAAATCAACTATCACCAACGTGTCTTCGTGTTATGTACTGATGTATAATCTTAGCCAGAATAAATTTTCATACATACTTTGCCAAAATGATAGCAACCACACATCATTGAAGTTCGACCAGTTACTGAACTAACCATAAGGGGGTTTCAAATTTCCGTGTAACTTTCCATAGGGACCCATGTGCGTCGATAGAGTTCAGAAAGTTGTTCACGACTGAGGAGGTCAAAACTGCTAAATGAGTTCTGAAAAGAAGTTATGAACGCCGCTCAAAGTTTGCTGCGAAATAGTGCTTGTTGTGTTGTACAAAGATAGCAAGCTTCGCCATGACGCAATCCCTCCTTCTTCAGGCGAGTAATATGGGTTTGCTCCCGACGTCGCCCAGTTTTTCTGCAAAGCGTGCTGTTTCTAATCTGGGCGTTTATAACATTTCTTTATGTTCAATCGAGTGAATTACTTCCGCCATCATTATGTTTAATATAGGTAGTTGAAGCAGAACGATTCTGCATTTTCACTTTAACAGCAGACAGCTATTAGTTCCGGCTCAACTGCCATCTCCAACGGTGCACAGATTGTTCTAGTTGTTCTGCTTGTTCTGGGTTTTTGTTTGACTTTTTAAAGCGTGGATGCTCCCACTGCTCGTTTCCGATTCGGACACCTAAAAGAAAATCGCTGATCTTATGGCTCATACTCCGACACATCTGAAAAGTTTTTGGTCAAATTCCACAAATTGCAGTCGGAAACAGCTCCTGGAGAGAAATTGAGAACTGGAGCAGCTTCTTGGCTTCAGATGATGACTCGGTTCCAGAACAAGTTGAAAGTCTCAAACGGTTCCTGCATATAGTAAAGTGAACTCTACTACCGATTGGTAGTCGTTTCTGATAATGTTTACCTTTTCACTGCTCTTGGGTAGAGAGAAGGCTCGAGAGGCAGTCGTATGCAGAATTGATCAACCTTAGGATGCTTCCTCATTGCATCGCACTCAGCACGAATCGTATTAGGAAATTAATTAATTTCGGTTCATTAACTTCTGCCCAATGTTTTATAGGCTGGCTAGTTCGAGTGAGAGATAACCTCTGCTCATGACAGCTCTTCACGCTTCAGCATTCAAAACTTTGTGGAAAGCCTCGGAGCGCGAATTTTCTCGGAAAAACAAGAGGATTGTTCGCAATGTATCTTCTAAAATGCTTACATGACCGTTCTCATATCCACGTTTTCTGAAGTTGTCCTGCTTTGTTAAATGGGCCCAGCCGAGAATTCTTATTTCAGCGGAGTGAAGTTGCTTAAGTAGGAGCACTCCCTGCCGTAGATCATCGTAGGTACCATTCCGACGGCCTTCCTTCGAACTCTATTCTAGAGTAGTCGCATAGAATACCAGTGTTATCCCTCATCCATGTCGCGTTCCATCGGGCCTTTGCAGGCTGGTCCACGCTACTTTACAGGCAAAGTCACTCGAGAAGTGTCAGAAGTTCTGTAACATTTTGATGCATTCCCCCAGGTTTCCACGATTGGCTCTGGTCACTCACGGAAGAGGAGTTTATAATTCCTCACTGCCTCAGCCCATTCTTATGAACAAATTCCGTCATTCCCAAGGAATCTTCTTCATGCTGCGCCATTAGAGCGATGCCTCCAGCATGAGGATGGCTATCAGTGGTCGATCAACCACTTTTTTTGTGACGACCCCACGCGACACGCCACAGGCTGATCCCCGGTGTGCTCGAACCGTTACTTCTATTTTTTCTGTTAAGCATGAGCAGTGCCTAATACCGCTCACATATCGCTGAATACAGAGATTAAATGTTCCTGAAAAACTCGTTTTCGGAACGCTCCCTAGAGGACTAGTCACGGGAGACGGTCGAAGCCTCGAGATTGAGTAAGGCCAGGTAGCAGGTTGTACGCTTCCTTTCATACTTCTCCATCAGTTGTCCAGCTGTTGAGATAGCGTTCTTCGAGGTGTGAACCCGGACTATCCCGGTGAGATCGGAACGGGTTACCTGAATTTCAAGTTTACTATCCACTCGTACACTTTCATTGTATGCGCAATCCTGAATCCACGGTAGTTGAAAGAGTCCATCACCATTCCCTAAGCTCGAAGATGAAGGTCAGTACTGCTTTTTCTCGCATCTAGGATTCTTCCTTGTAATCACTATGTTTCTTGACCGGCTGAGGTACCTTATCCGCGCTATCTAAGCGTCTTCCACATAGCATTTCCCAACTATTATACCATGCGGAAAAGTTGCCTTCACAACCTCATCTCCCCTATAACTCGATGAGCCTTGCCTTCAGTGTAGTGCGATTGGCCTTAATTTTGACATTGGCTGGTCCAATCGCACGAACTGAATATGGGGCCAACGGGGAAATTGTACATCTGGGAGGCCTCGAGCTATACTCCTTTACAATCACGATCAAACAAGCAGCCATGCTTGGTCAGCATCACACATGGGTGGAAGATTTCTTACGGAGTAACTTAGGGGACACCAAACTTGTTCGGCCAGCCGAAGACGAACTTCTCCTTTTCTAGACCATTGAGCTTTTCTTACAAATTTTCACCTTCTTTGCCTACATTATTTCAGCCATAGCAAGCACCAGTACACAGCTAGGTACTCTAGAACGCACTTTGCCAGCGCTTGTAGGCCGACTGATAACCGGTTATTAATAACAGCTATTCGCTTTTTCTGGGTAAGCGGGAACCTTGTAATGCTCATCACGTAATACAGCATAGGCGTGAAGAGTACAAGCAGAACTTTAAACCCATACTATATATTGTAGCACATGCTATACTATAACACCTTTTACAACTTGCTACCACTCCTCTTCACCAGTCTCTCAAGTAATTCGTGATGGGATCGCAGATAAAGACTTATTAAACTAAATAAAAGCAACTTAGCAACCTACAACGACTGTTGAGGGACAATATAAGTGGTATAAAATAAGAATCATCGGATGTGTAACCAAATTTTTTATTTCGATGACAAAGTAGCCACTCCTTTGACTAGTACGTTTTTGGATCTGTGGATTGAAGATGCTCGTGGTATGTTTCCTCGTGAACATGGAACGCCTATTCAAGCAAATTGAGGTGACATTTATAAATTCCTTTTATCAACGATTGAGGACCAGACCCATGAGCGAAGGTGAGATGAAAAAATATTGTTAACACTGAAGATTGACGAGGAGTGGTAGCAATCTGTAATAGGAGTTATGATACCGGAACAAACGGCGATTTCTATGTTCACTTATGAGTGCAAACCTTATACTGGTCCTAAAGACGACTTCATATCAATAGTGAACCAACTATCTAAGCTTGACTCTAATACGAAAAACTTCTTTATGTACAACAGATTCAAAATCGAGAAGTATTGAAAACAGGAATAACGAAGCATTGCGATTTTAGATACGTCAATGACCCTTCCATATTAGATAGCGTCTCTGATCTTACTTAGTTTTCAGATGCGTTTATGTGCTTTTAGAGGTTCCTGTTCCACTTTTCCGACTTTACAGTGAGCAGCACTTTGAAAAAAATGAGGAACGAGAAAGTCGTAGATTCAAAATTATGCTTTCGAGAATTTTGCGCATTTGTCATTGGAGTTTTTGCGGATGGATGCGGTAATCAAACAGCACTCCTTGCTCCTTCAATCCCATATGTGGATCGAGCCCCGATTTCGCAAGGGCAGCAGGCCCAGTCAGACCTGCAGTTATAATCCAACTCTTGTATTTATGGCTATGACGCTGACGCAGTAAAACCTTCGCTCGTTATGATATACACAAACAGTGCCGTGCTAAAGAAAATGAAAGCGATCGAATGCGATCTCCGTCGTCTATACAGAACGTTGGTGAAGCAGATGTTGCTATTCCCTTTGGGAACGCATTCGACGATTTCATTTCAGCGGTTGGACCAGGCTGTAGTAGTNGCTGGATCTTTTCGCCAAGCTTCCATTAGATACCGACGAATTTCGCCATTAAACGCCACCACAATCATTCTATAACGGAATTGAAAAGTTGGCTCAGAGCTGCGATTCGCAATCTTCTTTGGAACTTATAATAACACAAGAATGGAGATAAAAGGAAAAAGATGCGTAGCTCTCGTGAGTTCTCTTCTGGCCACAACACAGTTCTCGACCCGAACGCTCACCATTTTCAAAAGCTTACACATTTTACCGACAACTTTTTCGAATGATGAGTAAAGCTCCGTACCAAGCAACCAGCAAATAGAAAACTTGGTAATGATTACGATAACCTGGTTAACTTACCCTCCAGCTGCGTGGGCTAACTCCCATGCGGTTGTTGTGAAGAGTATAGTGTAAACACCGTGAACGGCGTTGGATAACACATGGAAACAAATCAGCATAAAACAGTAGATCAGGGTATTGGTGAACGCCTGAAAAGCTCTTCGAATTTAGAAAATTCGACAATTATCAAACTCCAGTAAAAATTAACCGTTGTATGAAAGAAGTCATCTGGCTGCTATTTCCCACTCCTCTAGGGTTTGGAATGTTAAGGGGCTTGAATGGGTATGCCAACATAATATGATGGAGATTCCATCAAGGCATCAATAAAAATTAATCTCAGTAAGAAGTGAGTGGCCCAGGACAGACCCGATTCTCAAACCGTGCACACAGCGCACAGCTTCCCCATGTTCCTCTAACCTACCCCCCCCC